TTTTTTTTTCTTTGTGATCGCCATAGAAAACTTGTCCTCTTTGTAAAATCTACCCTCAGACTTAATCAGACTTAGGCATTTCATCTAGACAAGAAAGATGCCACACGAAGGTTAACCCTGTTTCTGGAAGAAACTTGTCATTGAAAAAGTTTTACGTCTTTGTAAACAGGTTTAGCACGATAAATCAGAAAACGAATGAGACACACGCGCTGACGACCGATTTCATTTCTAATTTTAGTTGGTGCGGATTGTTTCAAAGGAAGTGGAGTAGGGCCTCAAGATGCAAAAAATAAATCATAATCATGTGGACAATTGCGGCTTCTGCTTATAAATTTTTAACCACCTCAATATACTTCGGTAAGGATCATTTTTAATTTTTCCTCTACTTTGTTTAGGAAATTTTATCATGAACTTATACTTATAGTTCACTCTAACACCGCACTATATAAAGCTTGCACATATACTCTACCTATTTCGTTAAATTCTCCTCGGTGGGCTGGTTAAATTACGCATTATTATTATTATTTGTTTTCACGACAGCACATCAAAAGTAAAGGTATAAGAAAAAAAAATGCAGCATCCGTTCCTCCATAAACTCCCGTGCTAAGGAAAACCGTAGAAAATGAAATAGAGGCAGTACAAATAAAATTAATTTCTTGTTTTGTTGACGTGATGTTCTACAAGCCTGCTGCTTAATGTTCCTACAATATTTTAAGACCCTCAATATTGTAATGTTTCCGTGAAGGCTAAAAGTCGTTTTCCTTCAGCAGAAGTAGTATTGCTAAGACAGGCAGTGTTTGACTTCCCGAAACGATTATTTCATGAATGCTTGACTAAAAACCAGGCAAATGATAATTTACCCTTTGTTTAGTGTAAGATGCAAGATTCGGGATGAAGACAATAACATACACGATGCTTCGCAAGGTACATCTTAAAAGCTTCCCTACAATATTCTGCATTTCCTTGATTGTTAATTCTATATTGTTCATATGCGTGTACTAACTTCGTTTAAAGGCGCCACTGAAACATAGTTAACGAAAGATGAATCTTAATCGTTGGAAAATACGTCCACATGAACTTTATTCCAACATTTTGGTCTATACATGTGTAATTGCAAAAAACGATTCAATTTATCGCCTGCCTAAATAAAGTACTCCCTATGTCGTTGAAAACGCGAATGAGACCAGTCAACAATTAAAAGACAACTATCTGATAACAACTCGTAAAATAGAAAACAGGGCCTCAAGGGCGACGCTAAATGAATTCTCTGAAAAATGCGAGTCTCTGAGCTGAGATAAATCCCATGCCTTGTAAGCTGTCTTCGAGAGAATTCCGCAATTCTTTTCAGAAAAATTTCTTGAATTTATATACAGTTCTTCGCCTCTGAAACAAAACGAAAATAGTAGGACTTATTTAAGAATTTCGTCCGTGCATACGCTCTAAAGATTGTCTGAGAGTTTTTAATTTCAGAGATGAAACCATCCGTGCATCGAGGTTAATACAATTCCAATTTAAATAATATATAGATGGATATAATAGATAGATAGATAGTTTTATCAGAGACTTACGGACTAAATTTGTGGTTCACACAACTTTCCAATGTTTTATTTCGTTAGTTAAATTAAGTTCGAAATTCCCCCGATATTTTTTTAATAGCATATTACATTTAATAAGAACTTAAACAATTTGAGTGTAACTTGAAAATTCGAGCAACTTCCACCGAATATATATATGTATATATATATTCAATTGTTAATTTCTTTAATTATAAAAGTAAAACAGAACAAAACAAAACAAAATTCGCGTTTTCCACCGAAGAATAAGGCAAGCTGGAAAAATATGACAGATAATTTATTAATGAAGTCATTTTGTGTCTCACAGAAAGACATTAATAGCTCCTGGTATATCTGCCTTGTCAGCCATCTTGAACAAAACATTTACTATGTTAAATAATAGGGGGAAATGTATTGTTTATTCTGGTAAAAGTGCGCCTAAACAATGTTTTAAAATTCCTACAGAGTACGTGACGCCGGCTAGATGTTTCATCGTTTACAAATTGTTGGGATAATTATATCATACGGACGGAAAACGTTGCGCTTTTTGTCTAACCTGTGGTGACTAAGCCCTGGGAAGAAGAACGAACGATTTTACGAGAATAGGAACCTTTAAAATAATAATTGTGAGCCGTTATTACGTGTTGATTTAAGGTTGCTTAAGAAAAGACAGTGGACAGTTCAATAAACTATGAGTTATACTAGAGAACGTATGCAAATTTCAAGAACCTGTGTATCACAAAAAAAAAATCATGTTTGCAGCGCTATGAGTTTATTTCAACTACATTGTCAACCGGACTCATTAAAAGCTGTCAAGCTAAAAATATTTAGCAATAAATTTTAAGTATTTGACATATCAATGTAAATTTACATCGCATTTTGTCTAATTTGTCTGTCCTCACTGTCAACTTGAATTTGTATTGAAGCTGAAAGACCTTGAGCTTCCAACATATTGTTTGTGTTGCGAGTTTTTGACGTCAGTAAATTATGGTCATTGTGGCTTTCGTGCAAGATGGGGCCTTTCGTCAATTATCGACGCTTCAGTCAATCTTGCAACGACTTTTCCCGTGAGAATGAAAAAAAAAAAATGCTGAGTATGTGGATTGATCTTGAAAACTTTAAGGTGTTGTTTCTCAGAAACTCGAGGGGGCTTATCTTAGTATGTTCACTTAATGTTCTTAAGAATATGTTTATAATGTTATTGTCTTAAACGCACTTCATTGACTGTAATAATGAAGCAGTTGAAGTTCATGTTATTGAAATTTGTTTGACAAAATCCATGAGTCTTATCTGAAGATGAATACTTATGGAATCGTAGCCCCTCAAAACCAAAGTGTTTCTAAGTGGCAGAAAGGAAGACATTGAAAAAAGGTGTTCATTCGCAGACTTTAAAACGGATACTCACGTATGTTGTTTGCATCAATAACTTTGCAAGGGGGAGGACTGACATCTGTTAACTTTGTTAACATCCCATTTTCAATACCAAAAGGGCGGTTTCTATTACTTAATCCATTATTAAGTGCAGGTGGTCGACACGAATTTGCAGCATACTCAAAGCATCAAAATCGAGCGCCGTTGTCTTGAGGAAGCATGGAATTTTCAGCCTTTCTAGTATTCGTAGTCTGGACTTCATCGATGACTTACTCGACGTTTGGTAAAGGTGAGTGGCACACTGCGAATCATTTTCTATCCCTATATTCATTCTTTAGCCAGAGCTATCTTATTTTCCATCACTCTTTATTTCTATTTCGCTGATTCACAACAGTGAATGCACTGAGCTTATAAAGTGTCGTTTTAAAAAATCTAAAACCCTGAACTCAAGAAACATGAATTTTAAAGGAAGGAACCTCAGTAGTTTAAACTTCTTTTGTAGATGTTAATAGTGTTTAACAAAGGCGTGTTATTATGATGAACCATATCGGAAATCTGCAGTTGCTACAAAAAAACTAAGAACTGCTACGATGAAGAATTGCTGCATGTAAAACCACTTCAATCCTAACGCTCAGCTCATATTTATATGAATGGGTAATAAATTATATCAAAAACATTTCGTTATTGTGTTGCAGACGGGAATTCGATAATTTGGCCACTCTTAGCCAATTTACGCGAAGTTATTTTTATAGAGGAACAATGCTGGCATTTGGAATAGACCAATTTGTACTGGTTTTAAACATCTGTCTATAAAAATAGGGTAGCCCGTCTTCTTAGAATTTAACCATTGGGCGAAATTGAAAAAATAAAACCTTTGACGCAAAATCCTTTTAAATATTGTTTTTCGAATGGGAGGCTTTAAAACTTGCCAAAGAACAACTAGTTCAATTGAGATGATCCTTAACAAAACCTTTGCACAGAAGCTTCGTGCAATTTTCCAATTTTGTGCCCTTTCATAATCAATCTCTTAGCAAGGATTCCCTAGACTGAAATTTATTTAAATATATATTTTCAGTGTTTTAAAACTCTGTTGCTATGATCAATATTTTTTCAACAGCAGAAAAATGATGAGGGTGGACTTTATTCGACACGAGAAAAGTAATGAATTAAAACGATGAACAGATAAATGAGTTGTTTTGAGAAAACAAATGACGGAAATAAAGCGATGATTATATGCACCATAGCTAAGCAATTTAAACAACTTACATTGGCTTGCAAAATTTTAAAAAATACTTCATTATACATTTGTACCTTTAGAAAACTTTCAAAAAGGAATACAAATCTGCTCATTGACGCAAAACAAGAATGGCTTTTCTCAGCTTAATTTTGCATGAATTCCCTCTGTTCACGAAAATCGTTCGAAGAAAAGAGCCGCAGGGGAGCTCTTCAGTTATACATTTCTTTTATAAACACTCAATAGTCAAGCTGTTTATATAAAGTGCAAAACCAAATTATAAAAAAAAAGCACAAGAAGACCATCCCCGGTCAAAGTTTTTGAGGTATTAAAGGTTCCCTATGAGAGCATTTAAACTGTGTTCATCACACTGATGACAGCTACATAAAAAATGCAAACACAAATTAATTCCCTTTGTAGTAGGAATTTCACAGAGTGTTTGATGAGCTCGTCTTTTCTATCGATATGATAGACTGAAATAAAATCGTACTAGCTTCTTGAATCGCAAAATTCATGTGAAACACGAAATATAAAGGTTCCGCACCTCAGAAACCCCAAAACTCTCAAATAAAGATGGTTTTATGTTATTGTTTAATTGTAGAAAACGGCGAAGCAATTTACAAAGTTTTTTATTACATTTAACGAATGATCGTTCTTCTCACGGACTGCTTTGTTTGACTCACGTTTTTAACGCATTTGCTACCATAGTTTGCTGAGATCCGAGAATTTTTGCTAAGAGATTTGTTCTTAGAACTTTTTATTCGAAATTTGATTCTTTTGCGACGAAAAAGTATGCCTTATAATCATATTTCAATTTGTCTATTTAAGAGCGAGAGCGCGCAATGGTGTTTCTGGACTACTACTTCTTTGCTGAAAGATATTTGGTAAACCACACCATTGAAAAGAAACGAGTCAATAACTTGGATGACTGTGAGCTAATGTGCTACCTGAACGACGACTGTGTCAGTCTTAATTTCAAAAAAGATCCAGAGGATGGGGAACCACTTCACATCTGTGAACTAAATAACGCCACTCATCTGAAAGACGACAGTGACTTGACAACTGATGCCAATTTTTATTATCGTGGGTCGAGGGTGAGTTACAAATCGATTTTTCGAAATTGTGGCTTTTGAATAATATAATAACAATAATTAATGTTTATGCAAATTTTCGTGTATTCGATCATTCGGTATTTCGTTTCTTCTTTCCACTTCATTTTTCTTCTTCTTTAGAACGCTTGTGACAAGAGTCCCCACTGAGGAAAGAACGCAACTTGCCAGTCTGGATTTACACTCAAGGGATATCGATGCTTGTGTCCGCCTGGATTCGAAGGAGAATATTGTGAAAAGGGTATGAGTCTAAGTCGACACTTGAAATGAAAGTATATGAGATTTTTTCCGACTTTCAATGCTGGTATGACAACTGTTCTTTAGTTGCTGAAAGTGGCGTGAATTTCTTTCATTGTATAAGGTGCTGAATCTTAGAATCTAAGAAAAATTTCCTACTATATTTCATTGAGCGTGTGTAATGTATTCTTCGCTCGCTTGTTTGTATATTTTTGTTTTGTATTTGTCTTTGTTTTTTTTTTGTTTTATTTTTTTAATTACCTTTAATGTTCGACGCCTTTCTATGGCAAAATAAGAGCAGTTCATATGTATGTCAAATGCTTAATATAGTAACTGCAAGGAGAGCTTAGAAATAATAGCTTAATTGAAAGGTACGACCAAAGAACACTAAAAGAAGGAAGCCTTCAAACAAATTGAGGTTTTTGCGAATTGCTGAGTTCCTACGGCTCTTTGATAGAAAGCAAAATGCTTTTGTCTTTAGTTGATATTTTATTCATGTATTTTTTCCTCTGCTTCATTCTAATTTTACGTCAGATACTGATAAATGCGAAGCATTCACTGGCAAATGCCACAAGGAGGCTACGTGTCATAACACATGCGGATCATACGTGTGCACATGCAAATCTGGATTTATCGGAGATGGGCATGATTGTACACGTAACTGTATATAGTCTCAAAAGCCGTTAGATTCTTGTTGAATCGTAAAATAAGATTTTTTTTGGTTTGTTATTTGTTGATGTTTATTTTGGAAACGTGGCAAGCCAGTTTTAATTCTTCAAAATAGGTGAGACAGTTACTTGACTAAAAGTTATTAAGTGATAGCTTTTTTGCAGAGACAACTCGTTTTCACTAAGTACGACAATCTCGCGTTCTCCGCAGTCCAGCAAAAGGTTGAAAACAGCCATGGCTTGCACTCTTAAACACGGTAATGGTTTATGCACGGCAATTTTTGCACCATTTTGAAATCCCAATTTTTTCATCTGTGATTTCATAGACGTTGACGAGTGTAAAGGGAACCACTCTTGTGACGAGAATGCAAACTGCACCAACACCATTGGATCACACGTGTGCGATTGTCAGCCTGGATATACTGGAAATGGACAAAATTGCACAGGTGAATTCTATTCACATAAGAGGAGTTCATATGTATATTGATTGTTCAATAGAGTTAACTGAAAGGAGAGTTCAGAAATAATAGCTTAATTGAAATGTTTCACCAGAGAACTACTTAAAACAGAAAGCTACAAAGAAATTGAGGTTATTGCGAACGCTAAGTTCTTACGGCTCTTTGATAGAAACCGAAAGCTTATAAAGTGATAGCTTTTTATACAGACAACTTGTTTTCTTCATGTACGACAATTTTGCGTTCTCGGAAGCCAGCAAAAGAACATCGTCTCTAGGTTCCAGACCTCGTCAATTGTTTCCCCACTTCCAATCCCCGGATTGGTCTCCAAATCCCCTCGAAGAAACTCTTCTACAGCCAATGCCGAGGCGTCCTATTTCAGTTTTTATTCAGAATAATGAAGGGCTGGAAAATAAACTAACAAGAGCTCCGCTTTTAGGCTTGGCTAAATCTATATATTATACGATAAAGGAGGAAAGTACTTCGCAAATTCGTTTCGACATTTCATTGAAAAGCGCAGTAATTCAATGAATTTGCTAAATATAAACATTAAATGGTAACTCTATGTTGCTGAATCATATACGTGGCTGATGTGTACTGAACATTTTTTCTCTTTTATCTATTTTTACTTAATTTTTTTTTCATTTTTAATCGCGCCTCAGTTCCCTTTAAGTGTAAGATTTAGTTGTGGGAAATGCTGCTCTTTTCACTGTGGTTATTGATGCTTATAAGGGACACTATCAACTTTTATTGCAACCTTGAACATGCATAGTGTTATTCTGTTACGTTGTACATCCAATTTCCGAGTCTACGTTATGTGTGTATTTTCTCTTCCAGACATTGACGAGTGCAAAATAAACGTTTGCCATCAGGATGCCTATTGCACTAATACCAAGGGCTCGTACAACTGTACTTGCAGTTCAGGATACATTGCAGATGGGTTGGGCTGTAAAGGTAGGTTTGGTTTCTTTATTGATCTTGGACTTGTGAGAGCAAGCATTTAGTAGACTCGGTTTGAATCGTTCCTGGTCAGGTGGCCATTAAGAACTATAGTGTCGATTTTTCGTGTCTATTTCATCCAAATTTGTGTATTTCAGCGATATCAAATTCTCTGGCGAAACGTTTTGTTACTTCATTTACAACTTGTCGAAGTCGGCTAATTTGCCCATCAATATGTTATACTAATACGTTTTTTGACTTAGTTATTTATTTCAGAATGAGGCCTTTCGCAATAAACTTGCAAGTGCTTAGCTGCACACAAACTTTGAACAGGGTTGAAAATTTTCATTTCCCAGGTTGCTTGATTCTTTTGGAGACAAGTCATTTGAAAAAATCAGTGTGATTTCTAAAATCACTTTCCTCACTCGACCTAAAGTGTCCCACTAAAGTACAAGTTAATATTTTTGTAAATGCTTAGAAATTATTGTTTTTGTAAAACGCAAGTTTTGATGCTGATTGCTAAACTACAAGAATTATAGGGCGGTAAAAAACAAAAACAAAAACAAAAATTGAAAAAAAACTTTCCCCTTAATTAAGCATAATCATTTTTCTTTATAAGTCCAGGTTTCAAAAATTGATTGGCAAGCTAGAATAGAATATATCTTGGACCATTGATTTTAATAATCTCAGTCCTATTGCAATTGCCATTTTACTTTGTAGCTGATCCTTGCTATCATTATAATAACCTGAGTGATGCCAATAGAAAGATAAGTTACGCAACACCTCACGCTTCAGGGCTGTGTGACAGCCAACTCTCTGACGGATGGTATCGTTTTGTGGGAACTGCAGGAAAAAAATGCCAACAACACGTGTGCCAGCATACAGATGTGGCACAGACTTCCCAGGCTGGTTGGATGGTGCTCATCCTAGAGTGGAAGATGGTGAAATTCAAAGGAAAGTCTGCTTTAGTGATCGCTCTACTGGTTGCAAATACTCCGAACAGATTTTTGTAAAAAACTGTGGATCCTACCTCATCTACAGACTTCACAAACCTTCTTGCCCCTCACGTTACTGTGGTACAGACTGAATTTGAAGCAAAATATTCAAGAAATATGAGGACTCATAAATTGACCCTCAGGTACACGTACTTCAGGGATTTTGAGAAGTCCTCTTTTTATGATGATTATTAATTTCTTTGATAGGGTTTATACGTTGGTAATTTCCTGTTAACTTGCAATCAAAAATGCTTTGAATTTCATATTTTACAAAACATCAGTTTCGTAATAATAATCATAAATGGCGAATTACTACTGAAAGAACTAGTAACAAACAAAAAAAGAAAAGAATAGAATGCTTCTAGTGAAATCTTAGACAAGCAGGAACATTAAGTAGCATGGTAACTAGCAAAATACAACGAAAATGTGTTCTCAAAACGCTGAAAGCTGCTAAACAGGAAGGAATACATAGCACGGTATGATAATTTTTGCTTCAGCTTATTTTAAAAATTAGATGACGCTTTTGTTTGTGTTAATGGTGTGTTCCTTTAAAAACAAAGGAACATGATTATGTAAGGAATGGTGTATGTAACTACTATCTAGTGTGAGGCAGTAAGGTATGGCATTAAAGTTTAACTGTTTTTATCGCAGTTTCACTCCAAAATGACAAAGTTTCTTTGCTGAAGAATTTTGATAGAAAGATATTGCCCTTGTTCCAATCCTATGAAGCTATACATCATGGCGTGGAAAAGAAATTCCAAATGCCAGTGTTAAGAATTTTGGGTTTAGGTTAGGGTAAGGTTTAAGGGTTAGAAGTTGCCCTCGATTCTCTAGTCAAGTATTTGTGTTCCGTGCCCGAGATGAAATTTAAACGCAAATGAGATAAACACTTTTAACACTATTTCTTTATAAAGCTTAAAAAAAAGAAAAAAAACTGGCGTAAATCATAAATGGTCTACTCGGTGGAATTTGAGAGAGGTTGAATCCTTTTGTTGGTCAGCTTTTAAAACTGTGGAAATAGAGGAGAATAGTGAAATTAATCATTATCTTTTAGAGAAATTGTACAGCTCTTAATAAATACATTTATCTTACCTAGAGCATTTTCAACTGAGTGTCGTAAAGTGAACATTACATTAAATGCAACGTATATGAAATAGTAAAGGTTTGATAGCGGAAAAACCGTGATAAAATTTCTAGCACAGCCTGGTGCAATGACTTGAAAAGCCTGAAAACGGATCGGTGCGCTGTGAATGATTTTATAAATAGTTCACTATTGATATGTTAGGTTGATGCTCTCCACTATTGACATACGTCAATAATATTGGCTGTTATGATCGTAAACTAGAGATAATAGAGGAATAGGAATAAGTCATGACTTTTGACACTCAACTAAACCTGTTCACCAGCTCGAATTACATGTAAAAGCTTTCGCTGTAAGTATTGCTTAATACAACTTTACCTACTCTTTGAATTATTTGTAAGGTAATTCTCATTACACAAGCAATGCTAGTGTTCAATTATCATTAATCACTAAACGGTACCTATATCAGTTGCTGATAGTTGTTAGATTTTAGCCATGCAGTTAACAGAAACGGAGGCGAGGAGGAAGGAATTCCAAATGAATAAAAAAAGGAAATGGTTCATTTCTCTCTTTAGGAGCTTAAAACAATTATGTTTAGTATTTGCAGTCTTCCGTAACTATCCTGTTCCAATCAGGTTGGTGATAAAAATAAACAAATAAATAAATAAAATTTAAAAAAGTGAAATTGCCTACTGTCCTAAGGGTCCCTGACACCAAACAAATATTTGAATTGAGACATGTACACATGCTTTAATGAAATTCAATGCAATAGATAATC